CACACACACACACACACACACACACACACACACACACACACACACACACACGGTGGGGGGTGGGAGGGGGGTGGAGTCCCATTCCTGGGGGTCAGAGCCCAGGCTTCTAGGGCTCCTCTTAGAAGGTGTGTTTTGGCTGGAAAAGGCAGTTTGAAGCAGCATCACAGTTTGGCACCCAGGGAGTAAGGTACAAGGTCTGAGGAACATGTGGTACCCAGGGAATGAGGGTTAAGACGACCACAGAGGAAGTGGAGTTTTAAACAAGTATGGAAGTTTATCTCTTGGCACGTTTGCTGTGCTTTCCTAGCTTCGTCCTAGCCCTGGCTTGCTTCTGTCGCCCCTCCCAGTCCTGAGCTCTCCCCAGAGCACCCAGACACTCTCCAGAACCAGGTGCAACCTGCAGGTTGGAAGCCTCTCATTCCCTGCTCCTTTGCAGCCTTCAAGGCATCCGGTCAAGGGTTGAATCCAGAGGCTCCTGGACCACGAGTGTGGAACAGGGACAAAAAGGAAGAAATCCCTATGCAAGGCCCTCAAAGTAACATCTCAGGCCTGGGAGGGGCGGACTGACTCATTGGAGGGGTCACTACAGGGTCACACATTCCATTGGGTCCCTATTGACTCCCCCCCCCCCCTCCCGCCGCTGTTTTTCTCTCCATCTCCCTGGCTTGGTGTGCCCTCTTCTGGCCCCTACTGGAATAGGCAAGTCTTTTCACAGGAAGCCTAAAGGCTGGAAATAACTAATAGTGCTCCATGTTCACTCCGCATTTTTGCTTTCCAAGATGTTTATAAGACTTGAAGTTGTTCTGGGAGGCGGGCGGTGGTAGCTCATGCCTTTAATCCCAGCACTCGGGAAGCAGAAGCTGGTGGATCTCTGTGAGTTCGAGGCCAGCCTGGTCTACAGAGCTAGATCCAGGACAGCTAAGGCTACACAGAAAAACCCTGTGTGTGGGTGTGTGGGGGGTGTGTGGGGTGTGTGTGAGGGGGACTGAGGGTAGGAGGGAGGCGGTTGCTTTGGGAAATATTATCAGGAGCAGTAACCTAACTGTGTTTTGTAGGATTTTATTTTTATTTCACATGTATGGGTGTTCTGCCTGCACATATGTCTGTATACCACATGGGTGCCTAAAGGGGGCTTGGATCCTCTGCAACCAGTCATAGACAGCTGCTGTGAGACACCATGAAGATGCTGAGAATTGAACTCAGGACCTCTGGAAGAGCAGCCAGTGCTCTTAACCTCTGAGCCATCTCTCCAGCCCCTGTTGAGCAGACCAGACTAGTCTTGAGCTTGCGGCAGCCCTCTGACCTAAGCCTCCCGAGGGCTGGGATTACAGGCACACACCGCCACACCCCACAGTATAATTATCTGTCAGAGGAAGAAACAGCAGCCAGGATAAGGCTGGGAGAAAAACTGTCGACTTTTAGTTCCTAAAGCTGTCGGTTGCTCTCATTTAGTAGAGACGCACTAGGGCTCGTGTGGAACTAGCCTTTGGCCTTGACCGAGTTCTGATTTCTCCCATTCTTCTTGTGACCACAGAAGAGACTGCAAAGGAAAGCAAACCTCACGGCGGTGCCTCCCGCCAACGTGATGCAAGCCGCAGAGACCGGCCCAAGAGCCCAGGGACCTCCACCACCCCTATAAGGCCCAGTCCAGGGGGTGTTCAAGACTCTGAGATGGTTCGTGCAGGGGTGGTGGGGTTCAGAGGACTGGAGAGTCTCCCTGGGCAAGTCTGGGCACCGCCCCCACCCACCCCTGTTCCTTTCCAGGGCCCTTGTCGCAGACACTTGGATTCAGTACTGCAGCAGCTCCAGACTGAGGTCTTCCGAGGTGGGGCACAGGGGATCTATGTGCCGAATTGTGACCTCAGAGGCTTCTATAGAAAGCAGCAGGTGAGAAGAGGCCAGGAAGGGAGAAGGAGAACTTACCAAGCTGAAAAAAAAAAAAAAAAGACACAAAAAGGATATTGGATGTGCTGGGGCATGCCAGGTAGATAGGTGCTTGTCCCTGTCTCAGAAACAAACAAAACAGGACACACACACAAACTACCTCCCCTGCCTCTCAGGATCTTCCAACTTTAAGACTCATAGAGACATGAAAAGAGTCGGGGAGATTGTAAGTTCAAGGCCTGCCCGGCCTGCAAACAGTGAGCCTCTGCCTCACCATCACAGTAAAACAAAAAGAAGTCTGATTTGAAGGGGGGGGGGGCAACCATTTCAATAGAGGACGTAGAAGTCACCTTAGGCAGGGGCCCTACCTGCTATGGCTGTCAGAGGAAGGTCTGGGAATCCTCTGGAGGCATGTGAGCTGGTGGAGCCACTCTGCGTCTTCTAACTCAGCCTTCTGGGGTAGGCCGAGAACACCAAAGGGAGAAGCAGGTGCTGTGGATCTGGGCCTATTGTCCTGGCCTAGCAGGGTGGGCCCCGTTCAGCAGGTGAAGGGACTAAGAGCTCTTAATTTGTTTCTCCTGCTCGAAGCCTCAGGCCTCACCCTCTCTGTGCCTCTCCCCAGTGCCGTTCCTCTCAGGGGAATCGCCGTGGTCCCTGCTGGTGTGTGGATCCGATGGGCCGACCCTTGCCCGTGTCTCCAGACGGCCATGGGAGCTCTCAGTGCTCGGCCAAGAGCACTGGCTAATCAGGGCGGGAGCCTCCAGGACACTGTCCAGAGCACGGGCTGTCATCTGAACTATGTGCGGCCTTTGTGCCCCAAGACCTGCCTTCAGGCCCTCTACCATTGTTCCCCTCACCCTTGGGCCTTTCACATCTAGCCAGAAAAATTGTTATTGGCTTGGGGTACTAATAAAGCTGTGTTGGGGGCGCCTCTGGTCTACGTCTTTGTGTCCATCCTTCCCTTACAGCCCTGGAGCCCCAGGCTCTCACATCTCTCACAGCACTTCTGCCTTCCCAGTAGACCACTGCCGGTCTCTTCTGCTGTCCTAGGAAGCAGTAGACTGGCACTGGCATGGGTCTCAAGTCCTCTAGCCTCATCCAGATACCCACCTGGAGTTCCCTCCTGGGGACTGACTGAGATCGAGGCCTGCATGCAAATCAGTACTGCTGCACCTGATTACTGGTGAGATTGTGGTGACTGCAGCCTTGATTCTATTGCTGATCTTTGGACTGATGGAGGGGAAGGATTAATGGTTAATCCCCAGCAGGAACTTGCCAAAAGGGAAGTCCCGAAGTGCTCACCTGCCCTACTTCCTACCAAAAAGGAAGAAACGTATTATTCAGGCTCTATGTGGTTTACCCAGGCTACCTTATTTATGCTGGCACTCACCTGATGAGGTAGGGACTTTTTGCCCCACCCACCCACCCCCAGAAACTTAAAAAATGTAGACCACTTTCCTGCAGTCACATAGTCAGGCATGGCAAACCCTGGCACCACTTAATGTTGAATAAGTGTGCGTCTGACCTTTCTGCTTATGGGGTAAGCAAGGTGTAGAGAAGAGCTGACATTCAGGGGCCTTGAGGGACCTCAACGCCACACAAGTTACAAATGCAGCCCCCAACAAAAATATCGTTGCACACATACTACAGCCCTTGATGTGTACCCTCAGAAAGCTGAATACGAGGTGCATGAAGATGTTTCTGGCCCCTCCCTGACCTTCAGCTTTCATGGAGAGAGCCGGGAGGCGCCCTGCTGCGTGATAAGCCTCAGGGAGGCAAAGTTCCCCTGCCACCCAGTCTTAGGCACAGATTCACCCCGAAAGTGAGATAGCAAGCATGAACCTGGCCGTTGGTTGGGGGCAGAGGGGCTGTGACATGCAGCAGACAGAGCACAGCCAGGATCTGAGAAGCGCTGCCTTCCGATAACCTCTAACCCCCAGCCCCCTCCAGAGAGGACTTTAGTCTCTGGAGCTGTCGGCTCTCAGTGGGATAAGCGCTCCGTAGGTAGGGCTGAGAAGGGAAGGAAGAGGACACAGCTGCCCGCGGCCCACTCCAGACTGCCGCCATGGAGCCAAAGGGGTCCCAACTGCGGCGAAGAGAAGGGCTGGGAGAGGAGCATCAGAAGGGAGTCTGCGGAGAAGGTGAGCCCCCCCCCGGCCCCTACCCCGACGGCCTGAGGTGGTATGTCCTGCTTAGCAGAGTTGGCTGTGCTGCTGGGAGCCCCTTCCTTGCTATCCTGGGAAGCCAGAGAAGGCGGGTTCTGCACCATCCCCCACACCACTAGGACTGGCAATGGAGGAAAGATGTTCAGAGCGGGGCCTTGCCTTCACTGAGGGCGAATGGAGCACACCCCTGTGTTCTGGGTCCCCTGTTTCCAGCAACTGATTCAGGCTCTTTCTTGCCAACGGCCTCATTCACTGCACATATCACTCCCCCTTTTAATGACTCTACTCACGATTCTAAATATTGACAGGGGAACGAGGCTGGTGAGCACACAGCACATTTTCCAGGTCAAGGTCAGCTCTGACTAGGGCCCTAATTCCTCCCTCTCGGGTGTCCCTTTTGGTTCTTCCTCCTAGGAAACATCAAGACGCACAGAACCCCAGACTTGGTGCAATGGACCCGACATATGGAGGTGAGGGGTCACAGAGGACAGGCTGGGCTAGGGTTGGAGCTCAGCCGGTAGAGAGCTAACCTATCATAACTGGTTATGGTCCAGACTGGGACTGGTCCTAGAACCACATAAACCTGGTGTGACAGCATACAACTATAATCCTAGCTCTTGGGAAGCAGAGACTGGAGGATCAGAAGTTTGGGGTCATCCTTGGCTACACTTTCAAACCAGCCTGGGCTACCTGAGACTGGGTGTGGTGGTGCACGCCTTTGATCCCAGCACCTGTGAGGCAGAGGCAGGTGGATCTCTGAGTTAGAGTTTGAGACTACCCTGGTCTACAGAACAAGTTCACGGACAGCCAGGGCTACACAGAGAAACCCTGTCTCAAAAGAAAAAAAAAAGTTTTCAAACTCACAGTTAGAATTAAGGTTAACTGGAGGGCGGTGTTGAAGCCTAAATCACCAGTTACTGCTTAGCTTTTTTTTTTTCATTAATCTCTAGTAATAATCAGAGATAGGACCTCTCTTTTAAAATTAGTGGTGGTGGTAGTGTGTGTGTGTGTGTGTGTGTGTGTGTGTGTGTGTGTGAGAGAGAGAGAGAGAGAGAGAGAGAGAGAGAGAGAGAGAGAGAGAGATTTTCAGAACTCAGTTCTCTCCACTGTGGGTTTGGGATCAGAATCAAGTCACAAGGCTTGCACAATAAATGCTTTAAATGCTTTTACCTTCTGGGCCATCTCACCAGTCCCAGTTTTTGTTACAAATATTTTAAAACCTCAGTTAAATTGTCTGGTAACATTGTTCAGATAATGCCAACCTAGATCCCACCCACCCCCAATTTAAAATAAATAATCTATTAGGTTTGTTTACATCTTATAAATTAAAAAGAATCAGGCTAGCAAGGTGGTGGTAGCACACGCCTTTAATCCCAATATTCAGCAGGTGGAGGCAGGCAGAACTCTTTTTTTTTTTTTTTTAAAGATTTATTTATTTATTATGTATACAATGTTCTGCCTGAATGTATGCCTGCAGGCCAGAAGAGGGGGCCAGATCTCACTACAGATGGTTGTGAGCCACATGTGGTTGCTGGGAATTGAACTCAGGACCTCTGCAAGAACAGCCAGTGCTCTTAACCACTGAGCCATCTCTCCAGCCCGCAGGCAGAACTCTTGAGTTCAAGGCCAACCTAATCTATGGAGTGAGTTCCAGGATAGCCAGGGCTACACAGAAAACAAAACAAAGCAAAAAAAGAAAAAGAAAAAATAAATGGGCTAAGACAGAGTTGTTTAAAACATAGGTCTTTGGGCAAGGACAAGAGTCCACTGGTGAGGTCTTACTTTTAGCGTGGCTAGAGTTCAGAGGTTAGGGAGTGAGGACTGGAGATGATCTGTCTCAAACTCTGACTCAGTGAGTGGCAGCCTCACACCTACGGTCATTTTTTTTTTTTTTCTTTGAGATGAGTCACACCCTCCTGCCTCGGCCTCTGAGCAGCAGGGATTGCAGGTGTATCCTACCACATTCAGCCTCTGCTAAGGCTCTTTGTCCTCACTGATGCGCCAAGAAGAGAGACAGAGGTTGGGGAACCTCTTCCTATTCCTAGCACTTAACCCTGCGTGGTTCAGAGCAGCTCAGTAAATGCAGGTCAAGGGAGGAAGGAACGGCTGGCGGGAGGAACAACGGGCTCTAACCCGGCTCTGTCTTGTAGGCTGTGAAGACCCAGTTTCTGGAGCAAGCCCAGAGCCAGCTGGCGGAGCTGCTGGATCGGGCCATGTGGGAGGCTGTGCAAGCTTACCCCCAAGACAGACCAGTTCCCTCCGCTGCCCCAGATACCACAAGCAAGTGAGTCTGAGGTCCCGCACAGGTGCCCTTCCAGCCGTATGCCCGCCCCTTGGCCAGCCTTGGCAAGACCCTGGCTTCAACGTTCCCTCCTCTCCCCGACCCCGGTCTTCACCGCGCTGGCTTCCATCTTTCAGGTCTTACTGTCCCAACCCTGACCTTCTCCTGCTATCCCTCCTGCTCCTATTACCGTCCACACTGCCCTCCACCCTTTCTTGGGGGCCTGGTTCTGAAAACTGTCTCAATCTAGGACCCGGGAATTACCCCATGCGAAACGGAAAGTTTTCATCACCCGGAAGTCACTGCTCGAGTAAGTTGCGGGGAGGACAAAGGACAAGAAAAGGTTTGACTAGGGGACCCCACACACATCACAGTTCTCATGCACGGGCTTCGGCGGTCTGCTGGGAGGGTCTGGAGAGGTCTCTGCCTCGGTGTTACCCAGGGGGACAAATAAGCAGGAGATGCCCCAGCCACAGGCTTGCCCTCAGCGGGGAGTTCTGGATTCCTGGGCCCCACACCCCTCACGTGTACAGTCCTGAGCTCCCCTGCAGGCTGCTGAAGACCCTTCCACCCTGACCCTCGGACTCCTTCCTTCCAGTGAGCTGATGGAGGTGCAGCATTTCCGAACCATCTACCACATGTTCATCGCGGGTTTATGCGTCTTGATCATCAGTACCCTGGCCATTGACTTCATTGATGAGGGCAGGTAGGTCCCTCCCACAGACACAGTGACCTGATCAGATGCCCGCCCTACCTCCCATACCTGTCTTGAACCTTCTTTCCCTAGCCTGGAATGGCCTACACCCTCTCAAATGCTTCTCCATGGTAATCTTGTCTTAAAACAGATGTAAGTGCACAAGCGCGCGCACACACACACACACACACACACACACACACACACACACACACGCTCTCAACTACTCAATTCAGGTAACTTCCATTGACTTTCTACCAAGTACAAGCCAGGTCCAGATAGATGAGGGTGAAGTCCATCCCCCACCTTTGAACTACCTCCCATCTCTTGGAGAGGATTGACAGACACAGACCTCAGAGGAAGACCTTCCCTTGGAGGTCTGTATTTTGGTGTTCCCAACCTATCCCAAAGACAGGCTTAAGAAGGTGTAAAAGGGAGAGGATGAAGGACCTACAGGTTCAGCTACAGCCCTTACTCTATTAAAGTGTCTATTATTAAATATAAGAGTAGTGCACACCTTTAATCCAAGCAGTCAGGAGGTTGAGGTAGGTGGATCTCTATGAGTTCCAGGACAGCTTGGTCTATGTAGAAAGTTCCAGGCCAGCCAGGGCTACATAATAAGAGGCTATCTCAAACAAACAAACAAAACAAAACAAAAATAAAAGAATAAGAGCATTATTATAGGGATCAAATCTCAGTAAAATGTCAAATCAGGCTGAAGGTATTTTGTTTGTTTTTTTGTTGTTTGAGACAGGGTTTCTCTGTGTAGCTCTGGCTATCCTGGAACTGGCTGTGGAGACCAGGCTGGCCTGGAACTCAGAGATCCACCTGCCTCTGTCTTCTGAGTGCTGGGATCAAAGGCATGCACCACCACACCCCTCTCAGGCTGAAGGTATTGTTCAGTAGTAGACCACTTGACCATTGAGTACAAGGCCCAGTGTTCCACCTCCAACATCACCTCTAAAGTTTAAATATACATTTTCCCACAAATATACAGTCCTTGGCCACCTTTATCAATGCCAGTCTGCTCCCCAGAACTAACTTAATTTTTCTGTGCACTGAGGATTAAACCTGGAAGATCTCCGTGGTAGGTACACACTGCACCACTGAGCTACACACCCCAGCCTAGGTTGGCCTAGAACTTTTGATCCTTCTGTCTCTGCTTCTGCCAAGTAACTAAGGTTATAGGTGAGAGCCACCAGGCCTGGCCTGGTTTTGTTTTGTTTTGTTTTGTTTTAAGACAGGGTTTCTGGGGCTG